TGTGTGTGTGTGTGTGTGTGTGTGTGTGTGTGTGTGTGTGTGTGTGTGTGTATGTCAGGGACATATAATGTTTTTCCAATTAAAATTTTTTTTTTCTCTCTCCTACCTCCTTCCCTCCAAAGTTTTTACTGAAAAAAGAAGACATTAAGCCTATAATAAAAGCCTGTTAAACTGAATTGAATTCAGAGTGGAACAAAACAAAAATAGCTCTGAGGAAGAAGAATAAAAATGTACTCGGTTTAAATTGTATGAAATGAAGAAGGTGATGGGGAAGAATGCTATCCTTGAATGTTAACATCTTCACAACCTCCTCCTCCCCTCACATTCTTTTGCTTCTCTCCCCAGATTTCTACCATTGTTACATTTGCTATAAGAATAGTCCTAGGGCAGCTAGGCAGCCCAGGAGATAGAGCACTGGCCCTGAAGTCAGGAGGACCTGAGTTCAAATCCGGTCTCAGACCAAGCACTTGACACTAGTTGTGTGACCCTGGACAAGTCACTTAGGCCCGATTGCCTTTAAAAAAAAAAAAAGAATAGTCCTTACCTGGCCCTAGCTTGGAGATAGCGTATAAAAGATCATAATTAATGACTGGAGTAGCATCTTCCACTTGTTTCCAGCCAACAGGGGGAGAGGCAGGAGGAGAAATCAAAAACTGTTTGTCTGGATTAGGTGGAGCCAGGTGGGAGCTTCCTATGTGCAAAGTCTAAAGGGAAAAGAACATCAACATTTTCAGAAGGATTCTTCAGCAAGAAGTTAAAGCATATGAACAAGGCTCTCTCATTGTATTATAATCTATTGTACCATTAAACTATTAAATATAACTGAAATGCCCAAAAAGACAGTTGTGAGACTGAAAAAAAAAATGCTCGGGCATAAAAACACTTGTGAATCTAGTGATGATTCTAAAGTGATCTTACCATGATCAGAAAAAAAGATCCTTAAACAAGTCACATTGCCTAATTAGCTGTGTGACCTTGGACAAACCAGTGAAACTTTCTGAGTCCCAGTTTCCAAATCTTGGGCTCAGAGACATGGGGATGATAATAAATGATGATAAAAATCCCTGCATTACCTTCCCCAAAGGTTTATTGTGGGTATATGAGATAATGTATGTCAATACTATGTAATCACATTACTAAACATATGGAAGCTTTTAAAAAATAATTGTTCTACATTCAGAGCACTCTCTTAGTCAGTAAAGCTCACAGGTATAGATCAGGAGTTCTTAACCTTTTTTTTTATGCCCTTTGGCAGTCTGGGGAAGCCCATAGACTCTTTCTCAGAATAAGATTTTTGTGACTATGTTCATAATTGAAGAAAATGTTAAATTTCAGCTAGAATTTAGTGAAAATAAATATTTTTTTTAGGTCCATTAAGTTCATGGACCCACCAAACTCTATCCATAGACCTAGTGCACTCCAGGTCAACTGCTTTAATAATCATGCTGAAATTACGTAGCCATCTTAAACATACTTTTTAGAGATATCAGAGATATCATAGTCTAAAACTTTCTAAATTTATGGATGAAGAACCTGAGGTTTGTTCAAGATCCCACAAGGCTTAGTGGCAGAGATAGGACTAGAAATCCTTCTTCTTCAATTTCAGTCTAATCCTCTCATTAAATCCATGCTACCTATGTAACATTGGCTCTGTGTTTTAGGTCACTGAGGTTTATTGCTATTTATTACATTGTTACAAAGAATGTTACTAAAATCATATTTGCACAAAGAGATCTTTTTCTGGCTATTAATAACATCTTTAAGTTATATTCCTGGTAAATGTGAAAAATCTGTTAAAGATTTTGGTAGGCAGACTTTTGAAAAGTCCATTTTCTAGAAGAACAAGAAGAATGGAAAAAGAACAAGTTGGCAAATGTTTAAAATAAGTATCCACAAAAACTGAAGGTGAGGTTTCACCAAATAAGATGATAAGGGGGTAATGGGCACAGGGTGAGGTGGCTAAAAGATTAACAGAGTGGAATAACTTGACAGCAAAAGACTAAGGTCCTTGGTAACCTAGGTCAAGAGGTCGAGAGTGACTCCTAATTTGATGAAGTGAAGGTATCACTAGCATTATGTCTGAAGAGACTTGACATTTTAAAGCTCTGTTTTCGTTAGGTAACAATCCTCTACTAAAAACCTATTTTTTGAACACTCATTGAAATATATCCCACCCTACTGAAATAACTGATGTTATTAGGAAGATGAAAAACTTATACTAAAATTCTTTCCTTTAACTTAGCAGTAACATTTCCAAAACTCATCCCTTATGCCTTCCTTTCCTTGGCCCCTTGGGACTATTCTCAATATATTACTATTAATAGCACAGGAAATAGCACAGGAAAGAGCACTGGACTAGATATCAGACAAACTGGGGTCTAGACTGGTGACTCATATAGACAGAAGGACTTTTTCAGAAACTAGTAAAATAGAAGAGGAGGGAAAATGGGCAAGATCTATAAACAAACAGAAAAGGGTTGATGATAGTACTTCCACTTAAGTTATATGACTTTGGGCAAGTCACTTAAATTCTTTAAGTCTCGGGTTACAATAATAACACTAACTCATGATATATGCAGCCTAAAACAGATAATAATATATGTAAAATAATATGTGTAAAAATACATTGTAATTTATAAAGGAATTATAAATTAAGAAATTAATTTATGACTTAGTTATTAGTCCTTCTTGGGCTTATCAATGTCTTAACGACAAAGCTCCTGATGGTGGTAAATGGGGGGCTCACGCCCCTACCCCAGAAGAGTGTGCTATGCAGCAAAATTAAACATTTATTAAAAATATACTACTTGTTTTGGGTGTAACCCTTTTCATGGTTAGACCAGCTGGCTTTAAGGATTGAAACTAGAGCTATTCATTAAACTTTTTGATGCAAGTATTTATAACTTGCTGTGAGCAGAGCACATGCAAGGCTAATATGAAGTGAACCTATAGTCTCAACCTTTGAACAAATTACAATATAAAAACCATGCGTTTGTGTGCATATGTCGGTGTAGATATATATATGTGGAAATACACACACACAAATATGTATATATATGTATGTATGTATGTATATATATATGTGTGTGTATGTATATCTGCCAGGCCTAGAATACTTATGTAAATGAATATAAAATTATTTTCCAACTCACAGTTTTTGGAACAGTTTTCTTCCTGAGTATGCAGAGTAAGAAAAAAAATCAATGCTGCTTAATACCCTTGGATTCAATGGAACTATTATTTGGACTATAATTAAAGGATGTTATTAATAGCCCCCAAATGATCTGTGCAAAAATGATTTAAGCAGCATTCTTATAATTGTAAAAAAATTGGAAACAACCTAGATATCTAGTGATTGGGGAATAACTGAACATATTGTGGTATATGAACATAATGTAATATTATTGCATCATATTGTTGTATTGTTTTTCAGTAGTGTCCAACTCTTCATGACCCCATTTGGGGTTTTCTTGGCAAAGATAAATGGAGCGGCTTGTTATTTCCTTCTGAAGCTCATTTTACAGATTAGGAACTGAGGCAAACAGGGTCACACAGCTAGTAAATCTCCAAGGCCAGATCTGAACTCAGGAAGATGAGTCTTCTTGACTCCAAGCCTTCCACCTAGCTGCTCTTTTATGTCATAAGAAATAGCAAAGATGAAGACTATAAAGAAATGTGACAAGATTGAAATGAAATAGAGAGTGAAGAAAGCAGACTAAAAAGCATGACTATGCACAAATTACAACTATGAAGAGAGAGTACATAGATTTTGGTTGTTGGTGGAAAGTGGAGCAAAGGTTCCTGGTTCCACTTGGCCCCAGTCTTTCTCCTTAGTTGATTTGTCAGCAGAGGGCAGCAGTTGTTCAGCAAAAAAAGCTTAGAAAAGAGGAGGGTGATAATGTCATCAGAGCATGTTGGTGGCTCCGCCGTGTCAGAGGTGTGAGCCATCTGCGTTCTGCATGTGTGTGCCTTCCCTTCCATAAATAACTATAGCACAATATGCATGACCAGAGAACCCACAGAGAGGGATACACAATTTCTACCTTTTGCAAACATTATCACACTGCTCTCAGATGGGCATCTTTGCTGAGCTGCTGCTGCTGCTGCGTTCTGCTGATGGTCAGCCATAATGTGGCTTCTTCATCTGCAGCCTCTTTGTGCGTTTTCCCAGTGGGGAAGCTTCTTAACTTGGCTGCTAGTGCTCTTTGCCCAGACTGACTGACCTTCAGGTGTGACATAATTTCCTCCACATAGAATCCATAGGGCTGGCTGGTCTTTCAGCTTCACAGTCCCAGTTATCTTTAGCTTTTTTTGAGATGCAAACCTTAGCCAAACAAGCCAAAATAGCTAGAAACAGAAGGCATTAGGCATGTTTGGGTCTATCCTTTAACTCCTGTGGCTGCTTAGGGCTGCTTGGTATGAACTCTTTTCAGTCATGGTCTGAAGTTCCTTTCAATTTCCTTCAAAACTTGGGTTCTAGCCTTTCAAGTTATACTGCACTTATTAGCAAATTGTAAAGGAGCTGGGTGGAGTTGGAATGAGAAGTTTTCCATCTCTCCATAATCCTCCAGGTTGCGTGCAAATCAACTCAGTAGAAGGACTGAAAAGGGCAGGTGGATCTAGCTGAGACAGTGCCTTTGCCCTATTTCCCATAAGCAACCAAATCATGGTACTCCCTACATGTGAAAATAACACAATAGTAACATCTAAAAAACACAAAAAAAATGAGGGTGCATGTAAACAAATAAGACAAATCTGATATTTCTTTGTTAATTTCAATCTGCATATTTAGGATACCCTATAAATATTGAAAAGTTCATGATTTAATGTATGATGCTCTTTTGGCTTTTGTTTGTGAACCTGAAAGCTTGTGCTTATTGAAAGTTATCAAGTTTATATAAGAAAAGATTTAAAGGAAAAAAACAAATGAACGAAATCGATATTATTTTCTACTTCCTTCTGTAAATTATCACTACACACAGCCACTTATTAATTTATTTATGCCTTCTGATTTCCACAGCTGATTTCTAATATACTCCAATATATTCTAACTACCAGTACTTTTATGTTCCTTGTAAACAAAACAAAAATGTGACCTGCCCATCTTAGATGCTATTAAAAGTGTGGTACCAGTTAGTCATCACCAAATTTGACAAGTCTTGAGTTTGGACTTTTAAATCAATTCATAAGCTGCAGTAGCAGAACACCTGGTAATAGCAGGTGCATGGTGTGTGTGTGTGTGTGTGTGTGTGCGTGTGTAGAGGGTGTAGAGAAAGAGATCATATTTTAGAAGAATACTCTGTACTTATTCCAACTTACCTGAGCAAAATATAATTTCATTTCCTTCCCCAGAAACTCGCTCTTATGAAGTTGTAGTCGGGCATCTGCTGCAGACAACGGGTTACTGAAGTTTATTCGTACTCGTTTGAAGCTCTTAAAATACTGGAAGGTAATATCCTTGTCATATGCTCTAAAGAGAGATTCAAATTTGGTCTGAAAAATGACAAAAAGAGAAGTTACATCTCAGCAAGCTTTTCAGGGTCTCTTCTTAGATGACTTACTACATATAGGGGAACTCAGCTAGGCTGAGCTGTTCCCAATTATTCTAGGAACTGACAAATTTTTATTTTCTTCAATAATGTAAGGACAGAAATTCAGCCTTCCCATTCAGATAAAATATTATAATACAGCCCCCCAAAAGAATTGATACGCAACCTTTTATTTTGTGATTGGCCTCTCTCACCCCTCCCTGACTCCTCTGGGGAACCTGGGGAATCAGGAACAAGGTATTTTCTAATCTCAGTCCTGAAATTCTCTAATTTCCTTAATTTGATATAGCTTAAATTTATTGACTTTCAGAATGTATTTTCTAATCATACTTGGTTGAATAAAAAACCCATGTTTAAGGCTCACTTCTACTTATTTTTGTGGAAATATGTAGAAGAACTATTTGCTGAAACCACCATTTATAGATTGGTACTATACAAATGAAGAAAACCATTTTATGCAAGACTTAAAAAATAATAATGCCAATCTAAAATCCATTTTGATGGAAAGTAAGTTAAAAACAAGTTAATGAAACTTTTTAATTCAATGGAAGAAATTAAATTTTTAAAAATTTTTTTCCCTTTCACTCATTATTAACAAAATAATAGGGAGTTAAAAATAATGTAAAACAAATAGTTGGTTTTTTTATATACTGGTTTTAGAAAACTTAATACATTTTTGCATCTCTGAGCTGTTATGTGGATGCATAATTATTATGAAATGGTATGAGATCTTAGAAATAAAAACTTTATTTATTATTAGAAGTTTATAGATAGAATACAGAATACAGTATCATTTAAAAACAGATATCATCAATGTTCTCATTATAAATCCACTATTAAAAGCTCATCTAAATTCGGCAGCATGTTATTACCCCAAAAGAGCAATTTATCATAATCTAAAGTGGGGAACAAATAAAAAATACTATACAGCTATAAAGAACTGAATCAAGGAAAAATGAGCTGAAAGGTATATAAAAGATACCCATCTGACTCCAATCCCCTCACTTAATGGTGTTCTTCCCTTTTTCTTGTATTCCCAGAATACTTGGCTCTTTTCTTTACTTCTTTCTCACCCTGCTTTATACTATACTGCTTTGCTTACGTGTGATATCCTTCACCCCTGCCTCAAGAATGTAAGCTCCTTAAGGACACAGATGATGTCATTTTTGCCTTTGCATCCCCAGCACATAGCACAGTATCTTGCTTAAAAAGTGTTTGTAGAACCCTTATATTTTATAATTTACAACAACACCAACAATAGCTGCATCTCTATAGCACTTTGAGGTTTGCAAAATGCTTTACACTTGTTATCTCATTTGATCCTCCCCCAAGCTCCTCGGGTAGATATTGTTACCATTTCAACTTTACAGATGAGAAAACTAAGGTTGGGAAGTTAAAGATCTAAGAAGGGATTCAAACTCCCATCTTCTTGTCTTCAAATCCAGCATTCTATGCACTATACCATGATAAGGTGACTTCTATTTATATCTGTTCATATTTCTCCCCAAATATTCTTAAGAAAGTTATATAAATTGTTGTAAATTCATAGAGCGTTAGAGAACATCTACCCTGACCCTCTTATTTTTTCTTGATGAGATCAGAGTCAGCATTAGGGATAAAAGTCCAGGTGCCCTGACTCACACTATTTGGTTTACATTATAGAAATATAACAGGTATGAGATCAAGACTTCCAACAAGTAGACCAGTTAATATTGGTGGATTGTGCATATATATCAGTCTACAAGACATTAATCTTTACCCCTCTCTCACTGCTACTGGATCATTGCTTATTAATTCTCTATCAGAGTTCTAAGGCAATCAAGGAATATGTTTTGATAATTCCTAATAAATTAACAGAAATGCACATATCTCTCACTAATCACTTAGCTTCAAGCCTCCACCCTAGTTAATAAATAAACCAGAAAAATCTCTTTTCTCATATGCTTTTGCTCCTCTATCTCAAACCCCTGTTATTATAGTCTAAAACAACAATCAATGTTACTGGTCACATAATTTATTTCAGTAGCAAATAACTATCCAAAAACATAAATAAGTATAATGCATTGACAGTGAGAAAAGTTCACAGTTCAAGTTCTTCAAAAGCAGAGGGAAGAGTATGATAAAATATGCTCACCAGTACTGCCACTGAATTCTTCTCAACTCAAAACACAGTTCTCTCAAGATAGTAATCAATAATCAAGCCTTTCAGGAATTCTCTTCAAGGTGTCTCCTCTAAATAAGAGTCAAACTCAGGTCTCCCACAGAATCTCTTCAGCTTCTCTCACAAAACAATAGTTAAACTCTCCTAGTCTTTGAATTGACTCTTGACTTCAGTCCCAATCTCTCACAAGAATAAATAATAGCTAAACTCTCTTAGTCTTGAACAGACTTTTAACAGATGATGGTTAATTCCTTCAATACCAATCATTGACAAGAATGATCATTAACTTCTATTGATCCCAATTCAGTCACAAGGTGACAACTAACTTGCAATTTTTATTTTTAGGAAACAGCAGTTTAAATTTAGTAATTTGGTCTCCTTGTAGTGCAGTTAATTGCTAGTTCTCTATAAGAATTTCTTCCCAATTAATGTTAAAGTAGCAATATCTCTGTGGGACTGGCTGTTGAAACTGATTGTAAGAAAAATTATATCTATCCATCCATCTATCTACTGTCTATCTATCTTCTGTCTTCTAAGAGATTTCTGTCCAAAATAGACAAAACTGGTTCAGGCTAACAGAAAAAGACATATAGACTCTCAAAGTGTCAGATAAAACTCCGTTGCTTCCATCACAGGATAATATCTCTTATTATTCTGATTTGTGTACATGTCAAATCCCCACCCACACAGAAGAAAGTAAACTCCTTGATGACACTTTCATTTTTTATTTTGAATTTTCAGAAATTAGTTACATTAATGTACATGGCTATTAAAATACAGAATTGTGTTAGTGCTAGGGAAGAGAGATGAAAAATATCACCTAAAAAGAAGGATTGGATTGACTTTAAATGCTCAAGCCAATAAAAAACAAGAATCTGTTGCCTCTGTCGTATGTTTACTCCCCTCCTGGATTTAAGGGGATATGTCCAAAGGAATAGAGAGAAAAGAAAGGCAGGTCATATATTTGGCTTAGAGCTTACTAGTTTCCTTTCATAATGAACAAGGGATAAATTAGCAGCTGTCACCTACACACTGAGGAATTTTGTATAGAGTGTTTATTATATGTGTTTATTGCAGAATAAGGACAATGATACAAACTGTTGCTTTGCTCAATGCTATCCTATGTCTCTTCTATTTCTATAATTTATAATTCATATACATATGTTTAGGTTAGATGATAAAAGTGTTTCAGCTGCATGTGTACTGCTAAGTCTTTTTTTCTACTGCAACATGGACAAAATTCATGTGGAAAGTTGGGCTTAATTAATCTGCAATTTCACATGATCTCATCAACAGATATCATGACTGTTCAACTATTATTGAATTTATAATTAAGAAAAGGTGACTTATTAAAAGAGTTAGAAGAAGGTAGTTGAAGGGAAAAATTATATGTATTATATATATATAGATAGATAGATAGATAGACAGACAGACAGATAGATAGAAGGCATAGGGTGAGTTGAAGATGAAGGGTTCATATCTGGAGAATAAAATTAAGGGGTGAGAAAGGATTATACTAGGAGAAGGAGAAAGACAGAGGTAGAATGGGATAAACTATTTCACAAAAAAAACAAAAGAAAAGGCTCTTACAGTGGAGGGGAAACAGGGAAGGTGAGAGGGAATGAGTGAATCTTATCCTCATAGGATTTGGCTTAAGGAAGGAATAACATACACACTCAATTGGGTATGGAAATCTGTCTTACCTTACAGGAAAATGGGGGGGAAGGGGACAAGAGAGTAGGGGGATGACAGAGAGGAGGGCAGATTGGGAAAGGGGGTAATCAGAAGCAAATATTTCTGAGGAGGGACAGGGTCAAAAGAAAGAATAGAATAAATGGGGGGGTGGGATGGGATTAAGGGAAGTAGAGTTAGTTTTTCACAGCATGTCTACTATGGAAGTGTTTTGCATAACTGCACATCTATAACCTATATTGTGTTGCTTACCTTTTCAATGAGGGTGGGTGGGGAAGGAGGAAGGGAGAGAATTTGGAACCCAAAGTTTTAAAAACACATGTTTAAAAAAATGTTTTCACATGCAAGTGGGAAATAAGAAATACAGGAAATGGGGTACAAAAAATCTATCCTGCCCTACAGGAAAATAGAAGGGGAAGGGGTTAAGAGAAGGGGGGAGAGATAGAAGGGAAGGCAGACTAGGGGAAGGGGTATTCAGAATTCATGCCATCTTGGGGTGGGGGGAGGGGTGAGATGGGCTGAAAATTTGGAACTCAAAATCTTATGGAAGTAAATGTTGAAAACTAAAAATAAATTTATTAATAAAAATATATTAAAAAAAGAGAAGAAACAATAAAACAGACATAAAATAGGAAATGATAAATTCCTAGAATGATAAATCCCTGTATTGATAATGCCTTATCATCACTATTCCCTTAAAAACAACCAACAAAGTTTTTTCTCACAGATGTCATGACAATTCTTGCAAAGCATGAACAAGATTATATATTACTATGCTTTCTCAAGCCATCATTTTTTAAGCAATCAAAAACTACGTGATTGATTTCCTCATATAACTGGTTCACCAATGTCTGTCTTGGAAAGCTCTTAGACTCAGGCTGGAAGCTCAGTCTATACTCACTGTAAGGGAGAGAAGTACAGGAAACATATCCTGGGGAAGAGACGACATCAGAGAGAATGAGAAAGTGTACTGGAGAATTGGGGAGGAACCTCAGGAGTTCTTAGCCCTCCAAGACTGCCTTGCTGGAGGTGGAGGCTTTGGGGGGAAAGGTTGGCAAGCTGCCTTCCTTGCCTCAACTATTCTCTCTATC